ACGCAAATTTTTCGCTCCTCCCTCTGTGTACAGAGCAAGAGTGAGACCCCGAAAGGAAGAGAAGGAAGGAAAGGTCGGAAATGTTTTTATAAGTCACTCCTTCAAGGTTTTTCAAGCCCTGCTGCTGCACCCCAGCTTCTCCCTGCCCTCCCCCCCTACCCCGCGCTATCTGCAAAAGTGTCCAGCAAAGAAGGAAAGGGAAGAAGAATTAAAAGAAAAATAATGGCCTCCGAGTGATGGGAAGTGTTGCAGTGATGGTGGGCGCCGTGCTGGCCCCCTGCCAAGGAAAAATAGGTTAATTGAGTTGCTGGGATGCAGCAAGCGTGCGCTCGGCACTTCGGGGACGGGGCTCAGGGGACGGGGCTGCAAGGACCCCAAGCCCCATTTCTAGCCCAGGGAGGAGCAGCCATGGGGGTACCTCAACATCCTGACACACAACGAGGGACAGACACACGGCCACCAGCCTCCAGCTCTGCTAACAGCCCCGCAGAGCAATCCCCATTGTCCCCTCTGCGAGCGCCGCTGGGGACCGGCTCCATCCTCCCCCAAGGGGATGCTCAGCTGGCCACCCGCATTTTTTGCAGACTGCAAAGGGTACGGGCAGATTGTAACCGTTCTTTAGAAAGAAAAACAACTTCAGAACAGGCGAGGGCAGAATCGTAAAGAGAGTGCTGAGCTCCACTCTTGGCAACGCAGGGTTTCTCTGAAAGTGGAACGCTGGTGGGACCCTGGAGCAGGCGCAAAGCTCTCCTCTCCCACAGCTGTGTGCGGGGAGAACCCTTTTATTTCCACAGAGATGAACCCATTAGTTGCACAATTAAAGTCGGTCCCAAGGTGCAGGTTCAGGTCGGGATATGACCCGGCCAGTGGCTGCGGGTGCTCAGGGGAGTGGGTTTGCTGCCGAGCCGGGGGCACTTCACAACCCCCGGAGAGGTGAGACCTGCCCTCTGCCTCATGCTTCAGTCCCAACAGGTTTTATTTTAGTAAATGAGAGATTTCATGGGAAATTTTGCACTTCCTTCATAATTTAGGTTGCTTCTTCAAGTTTTAAAAAACAAATTTACAGTATTTTATATTAAAAGTTCTTAAATGAACCAAGTAATTCCTCCATGGGAAACTTTCCTCCCAGCTGTACCCCTGAGAGCACCAAGCCATACCAAACATACCCCGCGTACCTTTTCCCTTGGGGAGAAATAAACCACCAAAAAACCCCCCAGATGGTCCTTACCGGCTCAATAATCGCAGGCTCGCCCTTCTGTCCTTTCTCGCCCCGTGGGCCACCGATCTGTAGCACACAAAGGGAACACAAAGGCAGACGGTCAGAGAGGACATCGCCTGCAGCAGCATCACCCCTCTGTGCAGGATCTGGAGATCCTGGGACACCTTCTGCAACCAAAGGACTGCTGATGGTCGTGTAGAAAAGAACCGGCGCACCTCCTCCCTGCCTTGTGCAAAACACGGGCATTGCAGGTGGATGGATCCAAGCGAGATGCTCCGGCTGGTTTTGGCATTGCCAAGCCCTAGGTCATACTTATGGGAAGACTGACTTGGAACTAAGCTTACCCTCGATGGGAAATTACCCCTCTTACCCCTTCGTAGATGGTGTCCTGGTTAGCAGGCATGCCAGGGCCAATATCAGGAGAGACTGTTCGGTCGTAATAGTTATCGTAATAATTCCCATCGTATTCTTTTATTGTTTCTTCGGTGAAATCTTTATCCAGGTCATCTCCTCCTTGAGTAGCCTGGAAGCAAAAGAGCAGCAGCACGTCAGGCTGCAAATCTCTCTAGGCTGCACACGCTGGAAAATCAGGGGAAGACTGTGGGTTTTGCCAAAAGAAGCAGCTTTATAATAATAGTTGCAAATAAAAAGCACAAGAAAAGTTAAATTCTAGAATTTTAAGGTCTCCAGTGACCTCCAAAGGTCTTCTCCAATGCCAGCAAGGATGGGAGGATCTCTATGCCAAAGCATACACCCTGGCTTTCCCCAGGATTTCTCCGTCAATCCCTAAAATAACACTGTGAGCGTAAAAGTTTGAGAGAGGAAAACAAAACACAGCACAAAGCAAGAGCTCACGTCAGGAGGATCCCACAAACACTAAAGGCCTAAAGAAAGAGGGGATGGAAGTTCCCGACTCCAAGCCCTACTCATCTCTCACCGCCTCAGGACTGGAGACACTGGATGAAGTGTAAGAAGTCACACATCCAGTCGCATATTTAAAATGCACATCAAAACCACAACGTGTCACTATGAGTATCCGATCACTGGAGGAAATGTGGAAAAATCCATGTTTGCTTCTACAAAAACCTCCTGTTTGTTTAGTCTGGGATCCAAGTCGCAATTGTGCTTGTCCAAAGAGAAGCAGCAGAAATTTTTACAAATCTGCTGCAATTAATCCCCGAATACCTTCTGAATCCTTACGGAGACAGATGTTACGGACCACAAGCAAGAGCATTTAAAAAAACTTGCTTCTCTCCATAATCCTGTGCTTTTTGCAGCCTGGCAGGCAACCATCTCTTGGCATCCTTTAGACTGAACAGCGTGGTAAAGAACATGTGCTGATAACTTTTTGTTGTTGTTTCTTTCCCATCCAGGTAATGACCAAAATGGTCCATAAATAGAAATATTTCCAGTGCTTCCCAGATAAATTATCTCCTCACTGCTATGAATTAAAAATAATTTCAATGCCACCACTGCTTGCAGACTTTGTTTCTGTGCCAACACTGCTCAGAACCCATAAGCATGAGGATCGGCATCTAAATGCAAGTGGTTTTAAAGTAAGAATAACCTACAGTGCTATAGCAATCATCCCTCCTCTGCCACCCCATCTTCTTTTACCTCTGCAAATACCAAGTGGGTTTTTGCAGAAATTAGAGTTTGGCAATGACTCAATTAGCAAACTTGGAAAAGTTAGCATTATTTTTCCTTTGTACTGTTCAAATGGATTTAGCGCTATCACACACGGCTTTTATCCTGCTTGAAATCTTTCATCTGGGTTTGCACTCTGAAACCTTAAAACCTGTTTATCTTGCTATAAGGCTTTTGGGGATAACATAGCAAGCTTTCTTCAAATTGCATTTCTTGACATTCATGTCAAAAATGTCTGGTTTGATATTTTGATTAAGATCCCCAAGGCAATCTGCATGAAAAGAGATGATAGTTTGAATAACTGGGCAGAGAAGGAGAAAAGCTCTCCATGCTGAGATTTGCAGGTGCTTTGGAGAAAAACCAAAACAAAAGCCTAAAAATAATCTCCTGAACAATGCTGTTAAGATAACCTGAATCAGCAAACAGTCCACAAAGAAAAGAGGAGGTCCAAAAAAAATCAGTGTACAAAACACTGTGACTCTCCATTGTTGGTAACAGCTTCATTTAAATCACCTTTTGCTTCCCTTTTGGGAAAGCGACGCAGGTATGAAGCCCTGGTGGATGCATCCGGACAAGTAAAGCAAACTGCCTGATGAATAGCAGGCACCGAACAAAATATATCTGTCCCCAGCTCCTCTGGTTCACGGGAGCACTGCTGCCTGCTAAATCTCCAATTGCTTCCCTGGCATTTATCACGGAGTTATTGGCCATACCGAAACGCGAGCCCAGGAGAGTTCAGCGACTACGCCGGCTCCAAAACCTCTCGCCCAGGCTCCACAAAGTTTAAATGGCATAAAAATGAACCCCCTTATAATTCCCACTGTAGGAATTAGAGTCTTCCCAAAACACCGAGAACTTCCACAGTGACAAGCACATCCTGATCTTGGGATGCTAAACGTGACCATTCTGCATCATCCCCCGTTGATCCCACAACTGGCAATGAGCAGCGCCGGGGCTGGCACTGTCACAGCCCAGGGACACCCGGTGTCCCAGCCCAGCCCGGTGCGACAGTGTGGGGACTCCAGCTGCCAGCGGAAACCTGGGACTACTCTACATTATGCCACTTATTTGTGACCAAGACAACTATAATAATTTCCTAAACTATCCAAAAAACTCATGGGGTTTTTGGGGGGTTTTTGGGTGTTTTTTGCTTGGTTGGTTTATTGTGGTTTGGTTTTTTGGTTTTGTTTGTTTGCGGGGTTTTTTGGAGCAAATAGACTTCGCTGTATCTCCCACTGAAAGCCTGTTCCTAGCACCAGGTACTAGGTGGGCAATTACACACACGAGCTCCTGATCCTCGCTTCCCTACTGCTCCTAAAGCAGCTGGGTCTGCTGCTGGAGTAAAGGATTCGGTTTCCCCAGGAGTCTGTGGCTGCAGGCAGGGTCCTTAGCTCCCACTATGAGCTGTATTACCCAAAATCCATATCCTCTTGGAGATCCATCCCCCAGGCTGGCACTTTTGGGGGAGTCTTTGCAATGTCACCCTGTGTTAACCTTCGTCTTGCTGCACGGGAACCTCCTTCAGCCAGGCAAGTCCTTTTCTCTGGTCATCAGATAAAGGTTCACTGGAGCAACCTCCACCCCCAGGGCAGTCCCACAGCCCTCCCCTCTGAACACGGTCTGTTGGAGCTGCTGGAGGTGGGCAGTTGGCTCCCTCGCCCTGCGAGGTGCTTTGCTGAGAGCAGGCTGAGCTTGCCCATAGCAAAGCCTCACCCTGTGTTTCCCTACCTGAACTTTCCTTCTCTTCCATTTCCTTTTCCTAACAACTCAAGTGGCCCTTAAACCTCTTATTTCCTCTTCCAATTTTTTTTTTAAGGTCACGCTATCCAATTTTTAATTCCTCTCTATTAGAAAGTTCAAGCTTGGCCAAAGATTTCTGGCTCTTTGTCAGGAAACAGAAAAGTTTCCCATCCGCGGGTTCACTCAGGTTGGCGCTCACTTCCTCGATACGCTGGAGCCGTTTCTGTTTCTCTCTGTGTATCACTTTGGGCTGCTCAACCTCCTCCTCCTCCACCGCATTTTTCATCCCCAGTTGGCTAGACTCGATCCCCACCGGGCCACCAGCCCGCGGGGTGGCTGGCTTCCCCCCAGCCTCTCTCCAGCTGCTCGGCTCTTTGCTTGGACACTTTCCCCGACACCTTTTCATTCAAACTTCCAGGTCCAGCTCCAAATCTGTTGGCCAATTTTCGCTGTCTCTTTTGCCACTCTCCAGCACCTCCCAGAAAGCCTTGAGTTTTGACAGTGCCATAACCAAGTAGTTCTCCATTCAAGGAGGAACCAAAAAACTCTGCCAAGTCCCATCATACCTCCCAGAACACGTTATCCCACTATCAGCTCCCCTTCCTGACGCTCCTGGATAGTGAGGAATTTGCCTCATCTAGCGCGGTTACTTCCTCGCATGGTGAGCTGTACAGCACGCAACCGCACGACAATTTATCTCAGTCTCATCCTTGGATGAGACCAACGTTCACAGCTATTTGAGCACTAATACAAAACGCAAAAACTGGGCAAGTCTTAAGGATAGAAGAGTCTCAAGTGCAACATATTTCACTCGAAGTACATTAAAGTGTGGGTAACTAAAAATGTAATCGCTCCAACAGAAACATCAAATGTGGGATCTCATCTCTGAGCAGATCTGTGCACAAACCAGACGCGTTCTCTCTGGGTTAATGCAGCAGTTTGAAATAAGGGTTTGTCTCGGTGTTGAAATGTTTGGGGTTTTTTTTTTTTTTAAATTACAATCTGAAAAAGGTAGAGAAGCTATGCAGTGGGAACGACAAAATGAAAAATATTGATGTTCTCCATCAAATCAACATTGTAAGGATTTATATTAAAAGCTTTGAAATAAAATGGTTTTGCTTAGATTTTAACACCAACCCTCGTTTTTCTTTTTGTCAGACAAGCACTTTGCACAGGGAAATGCAGATGTCGATATGAACAGATTTTTCCAGGGGAATAATCCTTAACCAAGTTCTAAATATCTGTGTTCCACACCCTGACATATCTGGAGTGAAAATATTTTACGAGAATCTTCCTCCTCCAACAGCTGCCCAAACCACTTACAGATTTACCATATGGATGATCACATCTCTTTTGCTCTCAGGGCTAAGAAATACCAGAATTAATAAAAAACAAAGTGCAAGGAAAAAACATTCATCAAAATTACATCGGTCTCGTTGTAGGTGATGACGGTACTCGTGGGGAGTTCAGCTTCCACGGCGTTTTCAGTGAGTCCGCCCTGGGTGTCTACTTCTTCGTTGTAGTTGACATCTTCGTAGGGGAGAGGCGTGAAGTATTCTTCATTAATGGTTTCATAGTTGTACTCATCTACAAGGGGATCATCCACCGTAGCATCCTCTTTTGTCGGCTTGCCCAGGTCCCCCACATCAGGTGATGGCGTTGGGGCAGGATAGTCCTATTGCAGAAATAAAATGCCAGAATCAGAGAAACACAAAGAAAATTCTGCATCGCCCTCCACCTCCCCGCCTCTCCAAAGGTGCCATTTATCAAAGGCATCTTCGCCAGGACCCCATGTTGGTACCTCCTTGGTTTCAGGTCTCTCTCCAGCAGCCACCTCCGGAGTGCCAGGTTTGGTGGTGGGTGCTTCTGGCTTGATGGCTTCATCGACATCTTCATAGTAGGGGTACTCGTAGTAGTAGGTGTCGCCTTCTCCCTCCCCATCAGTGTACTGCAAAGAGAAGATGAAAAGCAGAAGATAAGCTGGCAGAACCCAAACACATTTTTTCCAGTTCTTTTAGACATTATTTTATGTCAACGGAGCCATGCTGTGATGCAGACCCATGCAGTGAAATCTTTCCCTTCCTCTTGTTCATCAGCTTCTGTGAAACCTTCCCCAAGAGCCTGGCTTGGGGCTGCTTTGGCAATGGCTGTGATTCGAGGAGGTTCCCAGTCACCTCTCAGTCCTGGGGCACGTTCTCACTTAGGATGGAGAGGATGGATCTACCCTGCAGCAACTCAGTCACCCACAATAACGCAATAAAAAAAACAGAAAACACTTTTTTTTTTTTTTTAACCTCAGATTGTTGAGACCGCCCAGGTCACACATCTGACATATTCAGAGAGGGGAAGAAAACCCTTGAGTCACGCAGCCACCCTGAGAAGCAGGGATGACGCTATTTTCCCTCATTTGACTGCATTAATAGCATCTGCGTGACTTCCCACCCGCCCGTGGGCAGAAGCGCTTTGGAAACAAGATATTTTCAGCACTTTCCACAAGGCGTCAGTCATTCTTCAAAATGAAATACAAACAAAACATTTGGTTACAGCCAGGCATGGCAAATTTCTTCGCCAGTCCATCGCTCTCACTGGCAGCAGACGCCGGCGCGTGGAAAAGTTATTCTTACACGGAGCAACACAGCCCTGAGACAAGCCAGCCCTTGTTGAACTGCTGGCTCTGAAAAAAAGAGTTTTATTTTCCTACTACCACATATTTTGACCATACCGAAGTTTATTTTATTTTACTTATTTATTGTTTCTCCAGAAGCGCTGGCGGAGCGGTTACGGCACTTTCCCGGGGCTGGGCGGCGGTGCCTCTCCTGCGAGCATCGCTCTGCTCCCAGAGCCCTAAGCCAGAGCGGGTTGGTGGCATTA